CTCCCAAAGTGCTGGGATTACAGGCTTGAGCCACCGTGCCCAGAGCTATTGATATGAATTTTAAGGGCACACAAAAATACTATTGTTTATGTATCCATGTGTCTTAATTAATTCACCTCACAATTTTTTTTCCTGAATGTCTAATTACGTGCTAAGTGCTATTCTCAGTTCTGGGGATACAGCAGTGAACAACAATAGCTAACAATTTTATATATATATATATATATATATATTTTTTTTTTTTTTTTTTTTTTTTTGAGACAGAGTCTTACTCTGTTGCCCAGGCTGGAGTATAGTGGCACAATCTCGACTCACTGCAAACTCCACCTCCCAGGATCAAGCAATCCTTCCAACCCAGCCTCCCGGGTAGCTGAGACCACAGGTGTGCGCCACCACACTTGGCTAATTTTTTGAATTAGCAGAGACAGGATTTCACTGTATCACCCAGGCTAGTCTTGAACTCCTGAGCTCAAGCGATCTGCTTGCTTTGGCCTGCCAAAATGCTGGGATTACAGGCATGAACCACCTCACCTAGCCATTCATTAATAATAATAATTGCAGCAAACACTTATGTAGGTACAATTCGAAACAGTTTACATGTATTAACTCATTTAATCCTTACAATATCCTTATGACATAGGTTTTACTGTTACCCCCATCTTTTAGATGAAGACACTGGGGTGCAGTGAAGTTAAGTAACTTGCTGAAGGTCACATGGCTAGACAGTGGTAGAGGCTAAACACAGTGGCTCATGCCTGTAATCTCAGCGCTTTGGGAGGTTGAGGTAGGAGGATTGTTTAAGCCCAGGAGTTTCAGGCCAGCCTGGGCAACATGGCAAGCTCTCATCTGTACAAACAATAAAACATTAAGACTGGGTGCAGTGGCTTACACCTGTAATCCCAGCACTTTGGGAGGCTGAGGCACAGGTGGATCACCTGAGGTCAGGAGTTCAAGACCTGCCTGGCCAATATGGTGAAACCCCATTTCTACCAAAAATACAAAATTATCTGGGCATGGTGGTATGCGCCTTAGTCCCAGCTACTTGAGAGGCAGGAGAATCAATTGAACCGGGGAGGCAGAGATTGCAGTGAGCCAAGATCACACCACTACACTCCATCCTGGGCAACAAGAGCAAAACTCCATCTCAAAAATAAATAGGTTGGGCACAGTGGCTCACACCTGTAATCCCAGCACTTTGGGAGGCCAAGGCAGGCGGATCACCTGAGGTCAGGAGTTCCAGAGCAGCCGACTTAACATAGTGAAACCCTGCCTCTACTAAAAATACAAAAATTAGTCAGGTGTGGTGGCAGGTGCCTGTAATCCCAGCTACTTGGGAGGCTGAGGCAGGAGAATCGCTCAAACCCAGGAGGCAGAGGTTGCAGTGAGCTGGGATCGCGCCACTGCACTCCAGCCTAGGGGACAAGAGCGAGACTTTATCTCAAAATAAATAAATAAATAAAACATTAGCTGGATGTGGTGGTGCACACCTGTAGTCCCAGCTACTCTGGAGGCTGAGTCAGGAGTATTGCTTGAGCCCAGGAAGTCAAGGCCTCACCAACCCATGATTGTGCCGCTGCCCAGCCTGGGCAATAGAGTGAGACCCTGTCTCAAAGAAAAAAAAAAAAAAAAAAAAGGAAAAGAAAAAGAAAAGAAAAGAAATTATAGTGGCAGAGACAGCATTTGAATCCAGACAGTTTGGATCCAAGTCAGCCTATTAATCATTATGCTCTACTGCCTTAAATTTCTGCTGTCAAGGAACTTACATTCTAGTGGGTCAACAACACAGGCAATAGAAATATATATACGCCAGACAGTGAAAGAGCAGTAGAGAAAAATAAAATGGAGAAGCAGAGGCAGAGAGGGACTATGGGGTGGGATTACTATACTTTAAAATAGACTGGTCAGGGAATGTCTCACTGAGAGATAACATTTGTATAAAGATCGGAAGGAAGTGAAGGAGGAAACCATGTAGCTATCTGGGGGTAGCAGTAAGCTCAAAGGCTCTGATAGGGGTAAACCTGGAGTATTTAAAGAATAAATAACAAGGAAGCCAGGGTGGCTAACAAAGAGAGAAAAGGGAAGAGGAAGGAATAAAGGAGAGGAGGCCAGAGAGAGAGGTGGGAGTAGACTGGGTGGGGCTTTGTAGGTCATAATAAGGACCCCAGGTGGGGCTCTGGCAGGGGATGACAGCATCTGACTTAGTCTTTTAAAGGGATCCTTCTGGCTACTTTGTTGCAACAATAATCTAGAGGGGGAAATGCCACTGCTTGGACCAGAGTGGTAGCAATGGAGGTGGTTAGAAATGGTTGGATTCTGGATATATTTTGAATATTGAATTTACACTATTTTGTGGAGGATTGATATGAAAGAATGGACTCAAGGATGACTCAAGTTTTTGGCCAGAGTAAGTGGGAAGAGAGACTGACTCTCAGGTGGAGAAGACAGCGGGAGAAGCAGGTTTGGGAGAGGGTGGAAAGGTCTGGAGTTCAGTTTTGGACCTGTTGAGTTTGAGATACCTGTTGGACGACCAGGTAAAAATACTGAATGTTCAGTTGGATGTAGGAGTCTGGAGTTTACAGTAGAGAGTGGGGCTAGAGATAGAAATCTGTGAGTTTTCCTCATATAGATGGGGCTTGAAATCATGAGAAAGGATGAGGTTCATCAGAGAAAAGGAGAAGGAGCAGTGAAAAGGCAGGCACAAAGCCCTGGGCCCCCAGAATTTAAAGATTGTGGAGGAGAGGGAAGATGTAGAGAAGGAGGAGGAGTCAACAAGGAAAAATTGAGAAGGAACAGCCAATGAGGTGGGAGGAAAGCCAGGAGGTTGCAGGGTTTCATAAGCAATTGAAGAAAGTGATTTCAGAAGGAATATATGTGTTAAAGTTGGCTGATGGGGAAAGAAAGGTGAGGATCAAGGAATGACCATGTGATTGAACAACATGGAGGGTCACTGGCAACAATGACAAGGGCAGTTATTTAATTAATTTATTTATTTGAGACAGAGTCTTGCTCTGTCACCCAGGCTGGAGTGCAGTGGTATGATCTCAGCTGACTGCAACCTTGGCTTCCTGGGTTCAAGCGATTTTCATGCCTCAGTCTCCAGGGTAGCTGGGATTATAGGCACCCACCACCATGCCTGGCTAATTTTAGTATTTTTAGTAGAAACAGGGTTTCACCATGTTGGCCAGGCTGGTCTCAAACTCCTGACTTCAGGTGATCCACCCACCTCGGCCTCCCAAAGTGCTGGGATTTCAGGCATGAGCCACTGCACCCAGCCTATTTTAGTTGTTTTTACTCTTTTTTTTTTTTTTTAAGACAGGGTTTCACCACGTTGGCCAGGCTGGTCTTGAACTCCTGACCTCAGGTGATCCACCCACCTCGGCCTCCCAAAGTGCTGAGATTACCGGCTTGAGCCACTACGCCCAGCCTGTTTTTATTCTTTATATATATTTTTAGAGATAGAGGTCTCACTATTTGCCTGTGCTGGTCTTAAACTCCTGGGCTCAAGCGATCCTCCCACCTTAGTGTCCCAAAGTGCTGGGATTACCAGCATGAGCCACTGCACCTGACCAAGAGCAGGTTAGGGACAACATATGAGAGGCAAAGCCCACCTGGACCAGTTTGAGAGAATAGGAGAGAGAGAAACGATGCAGCCAACGTAGACAACTCTCTTTGTCTTGGCAGTACTTGGCGGTGCTTGGAGGTGGGTGCAGGATGAAGGGATGATGTGTTAAAGTGTTAAAATAACATATGATACTTATGATAGAGGTTGCCTGGGTGCAGCAGGAAGGGAGAAAAGTGTAATTGATGTTTAAAAGACTTTAAATTTTACAGATATCTGTAAAATACATCAAAAGCACACACACACACACACACACACACACACACACACACACACACACACACGATTTTGTTTGTTTTCTGTTTTGTTTTTTTTTTTTTAGGCGGAGTTTCGCTCTTGTTACCCAGGCTGGAGTGCAATGGCGCGATCTCGGCTCACCGCGACCTCCGCCTCCTGGGTTCAGGCAATTCCCCTGCCTCAACCTCCTGAGTAGCTGGGATTACAGGTGCGCGCCATCATGCCCAGCTAATGTTTTGTATTTTTAGTAGAGACGGGGTTTCACCATGTTGACCAGGATGGTCTCGATCTCTTGACCTCGTGATCCAAAGTGCTGGGATTACAGGCTTGAGCCACCGCGCCTGGCTATTCTGTTTTGTTTTTTTGAGATGGAGTCTCAAAGTGCAGAGGTGCAATCTCAACTCACTGCAACCTCCACCTCCGGGTTCAAGCAATTCTCATGTCTTAGCCTCCCGAGTAGCTGTGACTAGAGGCAGGCACCACCATGCCCAGCTAATTTTTGTATTTTTAGTAGAGACAGATCTTCAGCATGTTGGCCAGGCTGGTCTTGAACTTTTGGCCTCAAGTGATCTGTCTGCGTCAGCCTCCCAAAGTGCTGGGATTACGGGCATGAGCCACAGCACCTCGCCAGTTTTTTAAGAGATAGAGTCTTGCTATGTTGCCCAAGCTGGAGTACAGTGGCATGATCATTGCTCACTGTAGCCTTGAACTTCTGGGCTCAAGTGATCCTCTGACCTCCCAAGTACACCACCATGCCTGGCTAATTTTCACATTATTTTGCTGGGCACAGTGGCTCATGTCTGTAATCTCAGCACTTTGGGAGGCTGAGGCAGGAGGATTGCTTGAGCCCAGGAGCTTAAGATCAACCTGGGCAACATAGAAAGAGCTTGTCTCTACTAAAAGTAAAAATAAGAAAATTAGCTGGGCGTGGTGGTATGGATCTGTACTCTTAGCTACTCAGGAAGCTGAGGTGGGAGGATGGCTGGAGCCCAAGAGTTTGAGGCTGCAGTGAGCTATGATCACACCACTATACTCTAACCTGGGTGGCAGAGTGAGACCTTCCTCAAAACACCACCACCACCAAAAACAACAACAAATAAATACATAAGTTACTCTGTAGACACAGTCTCCCTATATTGCCTAGGCTGGTCTCAACTCCTGGCCTCAAGTGATCCTCCCACTTTAGTCTCCTAAGGTGTTAGGATTACTGGAGTGAGCTATCGTGTCTAGCCAAAATATACATATATTATTGGAAGTAAATATAACAAACTGTTACAGCTGATAATTCTGAAAGTTGAAAATTTGGATGTTTGCTATTACCTTTATACTCTAAAATTTTCTTTTTTTAAATTTATTTTTATTTTATCAATATTATTATTATTATTAAAGACAGGGTTTCACCATATTGGTCAGGCTGGTCTTGAACTCCTGACCTCAGGTGATCCACCCACCTCAGCCTCCCAAAGTGCTGGGATTGCAGGCGTGAGCCACCGCACCCAGCTTTTAAAACTTCTTATAAATAATTAGGGGGAAAAAAAAGGTTTGTGGGCCAAATTGTGTGCATGACTTTGAGTGCCATTTTGAGATGGTATATGTACCTATCTAAACAGGGGACGACCATGGCTCAGACAGCTCTCCCTGAAAGCTGTGTAGACTGGGCGGAGTGGCTCAGGCCTGTAATTCCAGCACTTTGGGAGGCCATGATGGGCGGATCACCTAAGGTCAGATGTTTGAGATCAGCCTGGCCAACGTGATGAAACCCTGTCTCTACTAAAAATACAAAAAAAAATTAGCTGGGCATGGTGGCAGGTGCTTGTTGTAATCCCAACTACTCGGGACGCTGAGACAGGAGAATCGCTTGAACCCAGGAGGCAGAGGTTGCAGTGAGCCAAGATTGTGCCACTGCACGTGGACGACAAGAGCAAAACTTCATCTCAAAAAAAAAAAAGGTCAATCCTGGACCTGTCCCCTCAGGTCTGCTAAATTGTAACAATTGTAACTTTTCCAGCATGGACACACACACACACACACACACACACACACACACACACACACACACACGATGCTCACAGTGTGGAATGGGGCAGGTTTAGTAGAAAATGGAGGGTGAAGTTGATGGAGGTGCCTGTGGGTCATCCAGTCGGTGAACATCAGGGTGTCAAGTTTGCTGATGGGCGTTTACCAAATCCATTGTTGATTTTCCTTCAGCAGAAAGCACAGGCGGTTGCACATAGTAGGAATTCACTAGATGTTTATTGTAAAATTATGAACTTAGCTTGAAGGCAATTCACTGGATCCTAAATTCCAACTCCTTACCAACCTTCAAATTCTCTTCTAGTTGCCCAGGATATACATGATTTTTCATGGTAGCTATCAGCCTGGAGAACTGGGAAAAGTTGGACTTCAGAGTTAGGCAGACCTGCATCCAAACCTGGCTCCTCTTCCCAGCTCTGTAGTCTCAGACAAGCAATTGACCTCTGGGAGCTTTGGTTTTCTCATGTGCAAATAATGCATGCTGTGATTCATTCACTCAGCAAATATTTATTGAGTACCAATATGCGCTGGGCATCATTTTAAGTGGTAGGGAAACAGTGATGGATGAGACAGATGTGGTCCCTGCCCTGGCTGGAGCTCACATCCTGAAGGGAGAAAAATGCAGTAAAAAAAGGTAATAAATAGGTGAATTATACAGTATGTGAGAAAGTGAAAAGTGCTACACAAAAAAGATAAAAGGGCCAGGCGCGGTGGTTTACACCTATAATCCCAGCACTTTGGAAGGCGGAGGCGGACGGATCACCTGGGGTCAGGAGTTTGAGACCAGCCTGGCCTCTCTCCACTAAAAAATACAAAAATTTTTGTATTGGTATGGTGGCAGGTGCCTGTAATCCCAGCTACTCTGGAGGCTGAGATAGGAGACTCACTTGAACCCTGGAGGTGGAGGTTGCAGTGAGCCGAGATCGAGGCATTGCACTCCAGCCTGGGTGACAGAGCACGACTCTGTCTCTTTTTTTTTTTTTTTTTTTCTTTTTTTTTGAGACGGAGTCTTGCTCTGTCACCCAGGCTGGAGTGCAGTGGTGTGATCTCAGCTCACTGCAACCTCTGCCTCCCGGGTTCAAGCGATTCTCCTGCCTCAGCCTTCTGAGTAGCTGTGACTGCAGGTGCCCACCACCATGACCAGCTAATTTTTGTATTTTTTTTTTTTTTTTCTTAGTAGAGATGGGGATTCACCATATTGGCCAGGCTGGTCTTGAACTCCTGACCTTGTCATCTGCCCGTGTTGGCCTCCCAAAGTGCTGGGATAACAGGTGTGAGCCACCACGCCCAGCCTGACAATGTCTCAAAAAAGAAAAAAAAAAAAAGGAGTAGGGGAAGGGGCTGGGTGGTAGTAGGGGTGACTGGGCAGAGGAAGCGTCACTATTACATAGGATTATAATGTAGTGGACCATGTCAGGAAGCAAGACTCGCAGAAAGGCTTGAAGGAGGCCAGGTAACGAGTGGAGGGGATATCTGGGGAAGAGTGTTCCAGGCAGAAGGAACAGTAAGTGCTAAGGCCCTGAGGCAGAAGTGTTTCTGCCAGTGTTTGAGAACTAGCGTGGAGGCAGTGGTGAAGTGAGTGCAGGGGTGACTGGAATAAGGCTTTGCTGGGCTGTAACATTACGAAGAAAGAAGGAGCAGCTGAGTGCAATGGCTCATGCTTGTAATCCCAACACTTTGGGAGGCTGAGGCAAGAAAATCAATCAAGACCAGGGGTTTGAAACCAGCCTGGGCAATATAGTAAGACCCTATCCCTACCAAAAATATTTTTAAAAATTAGCCAGTTGTGGTCGCATGTGCCTGTAGTCCAAGCTGCTCAGGAGGGTGAGGCTGGAGGATCGGTTGAGCCCAGGAGTTTGAGGTTGCAGTGAGCTATGCTGCCACCACTGCTCAGGTGACATCAGGACTCTGTCTCAAGAAAAAAAATGAAGGAAATGAACTCAGTCACTGCATGCTGACTGTGTACCAGGAACTATGCTTGACATATATTGGCCTTTTCATCCTTACAATAAGCCTTACAAAGCAAGTAATGTGACTTCATTCACCTTTCATACACATGAACACACTGAGAGACAGAAACAAAGTGTGACTTGGTCTTAATGCATGGCTAATAAGAGGCTGAGCAGATTCTTTCCTAGTGCCATGTATTATGTGCCATAAAACTACAAGCACTTCTGCCTGACCCGATCTAAATAAAAAAATACAAGCACTTTTAATGAAAGGAGTCAAGGTGGGGATTGAGGAACAGACATGGCTTAAGCAGGGGGAGATGCCACCCAGAGCCCAGGCTTCCTGAGGCTGTCCTGGATCTGTAGGGGAAGGAGCTGCAGAGATCTGGCCTCTCTGAGTCAAAAGCACTACGGGCCTGGAATGGCTAAAAAATGAGGACTTGGCCAGGTGTGGTGGTTCACACCTGTAATCCCAACACTTTGGGAGGCCAAGGTGGGCAGATCACAAGGTCAAGAGTTCGAGACCAGCCTGGCCAGCATGGTGAAGCCCTGTCTCCACTAAAAATGCCAAAAATTATCTTGGCATGGTGGCAGGTGCCTGTAATCCCAGCTACTCGGGAGGCTGGGCCAGGAGAATCACTTGAACCTAGAAGACAGAGGTTGTAGCGAGCCAAGATTGTGCCACTGTACTCCAGCCTGGGTGACAGAGTGAGACCCTGTCTCAAAAAAAAAAATGACTTGCTTAGATATGGTTACAAATATTGCTATGTATTTTAACTGATTACCTTTAAGAAGATAAGGCTTTTAACATACAATACACAGCAATGTGATTTATTTACAAATATTAAATTCATAGCATGCTGCAGTTGGTGGTCTGATGGTGGGACCCATCTTACGGATGTGAGAGTCTGTTTTCCAGCCTGTCAATTGTCTCTGTGACTGAAGGCATAACTTCATGTGGTCCCAACATGAAGTCTTGAGGTCCTCAGTGCATGTAAATAAACAGAATCATGGTAAATATATGTGGTAGTTACTAGGGGCAGTGCTAAATGCTTTACGTACATTGGCTAATATCTTCATGAGAGCCCCATGAGGTTGACACTATTGTTGTCCCCCATTATGGAGGAAGAAGCTGCAGAACAGGGACTGATTTGCCCAGCAGGGTCTTTTTTTTTTTTTGAGACAAAGTTTCACTTTTGTTGCCCAGGTTGGAGTACAATGGTGGGATTCAGCTCACCGCAACCTCTGCCTCCCAGGTTCAGGCGATTCTCCTCCTGCCTCATCCTCCCGAGTAGCTGGGATTACAGGCATGTGCCACCATGCCTGGCTAATTTTGTATTTTTAGTAGACATAGGGTTTCTCCATGTTGGTCAGGCTGGTTTCGAACTCCTGACCTTGGCCTGCCCAAGTCCTGCCCACCTAGACCTCCCAAAGTGCTGGGATTACAGGTGTGAGTCACTGCGCCCGGCCACCCAGGGTCTTAAGACTAGTCAGCGGTGGTGCTGGTGCACTGAATGGAGAGAATGTGGCTACCCATGTTTGGCAGCCCCTGCATTTAGCTATTTATTATTCTATGCTGCCTGCCCAGGGCTGGGCCTTGGCCATCGGCAATCCCAGGTGGTTTCTCCCAAGGACTGTTTCCCGATATTGTCCTGTTGTTATAACCTTCTCCAGGCCATAGAGAACCTCAGGGCTGGCATTTCCTGGTTGTCCTGGGATCCACCACGTCCCAGACTAACACCCAAAGACTCACTGAGACCTGAGTGAGGGAGAGTGAGAGAGTAGGGAGCACAGCAGTGAAGGTTGCCTTCAAGACTGGAAAGAGCAGAAGGTCTTGGGCTTCTGGCCCCAGGGCACCTGTGGAAAGTCACTCCACCAGCCTCATCTTTTCCCTCTTTTCTTCTTTCTACATAGAACCTGTGGTGTTTTGAAAGAGTGCTGGACTTAGGTATTAGAAATATGACTTAAGGCCAGGCGCAGTGGCGCGTGCCTGTAGTCCCAGCTACTCGGGACGCTGAGGTGGGAGGATCGCTTGAGCCCAGGAGTTCTGGGCTGTAGTGTGCTATGCTGATTGGGTGTCCGCACTAAGTTCGGCATCAATATGGTGACCTCCCAGGAGCGGGGGACCACCAGGTTGCCTAAGGAGGGGTGAACCGGCCCAGGTTGGAAACGGAGCAGGTGAAAACTCCCATGCTGATCAGTAGTGGGATTGTGCCTGTGAATAGCCACTGCACTCCAGCCTGGGCGACATAGCGAGACCCCGTCTCTTAAAAAAAAAAAAAAAAGTAAATTAAAGTTTTCTTTTAAAAAAAAATAAATAAAAAAAAAAAAGAAAGAAATCTGACTTAAGTCTTAGATATGCTTCTTTTTAAAAATTTTAATTTTCTCACGCCTGTAATCCAAGCACTTTGGAGGCCAAGGCGGGCAGATCACCTGAGGTCGGGAGTTCAAGGCCAGCCTGACCAACACGGTGAAACCCCGTCTTTAAAAAAAAAAAAAAATTAATTTTATTTTATTGGTTCACTGCATCCTCTGCCTCTCAAGTTCAAGTGATTCTCCTGCCTCAACCTACTGAGTAACTGGGATTACAGGCGCCGGCCACTACGCCCAGCTAATTTTTGTATTTTTAGTAGAGATGAGGTTTCACCATGTTGGCCAAGCTGGTCTCGAACACCTGACCTCAAACGATCCGCCTGTCTCGGCCTCCCAAAGTGCTGGAATTACAGGTGTGAGCCACCATGCCAGGCATGGATCCACATCTTAATAGATGTGTGACCCTGGACAAATAGCTTTATGTCTCTGGGCCTCTGTCTATTTTTTTTTTTTTTTTTTGAGATAGAGTTTTGCTCTTGTTGCTCAGGCTGGAATGCAATGGCACAATCTCAGCTCACTGTAACCTCTGCCTCCCAGGTTCAAGCAATTCTCCTGCCTCAGCCTCCCGAGCAGCTGGGATTACAGGCATGCACCACCACGCCCGGCTAATTTTGTATTTTTAGTAGAGACTGGGTTTCACCGTGTTGGCCAGGCTGGTCACAAACTCCTGATGTTAGGTGATCCACCTGTCTTGTCCTCCCAAAGTGCTGGGATTACAGGTGTGAGCCACCGCGCCCACCCTAGGATTTGGATCATTGATAAACCTGGGGCACTTGGTTGTGAACCCTAAAGGGCTAAACAATTGTGAGGCATTATTATTATTATTCTGATCCTTGCTCTAAATGATCTTTGGTTACTTCCATTATAGCTGATGTTCTCCTTTCATTTGCTCCCAGATGACACAAGGCCGCTGCCCTTCTCTGAAGGCTCTTTTGTCATTTCCCAGGTGGCTGGAACTTGTACCTGGAGAATGTGAGGTACAGAGAACTCAGTTTAAGCATGAGATTATTAAAAAGAGAGAGAGAGAGAGAGAACTCGGTTTAATGTTGCCCCCCTCAGTTACTATCATATCACTCTGTTATTAATTAAGTAATTTATTTATTTATTTACTTTGAGATAGAGCCTCACTGTCACCCAGGCTGGAGTGCAGTGGCATGATCTCGGCTCACTGCAACCTCCACCTCCCAGGTTCAAGCAATTCTCCTACCTCAGGCTCCCGAGTAGCTAGGATTACAGGTGCGTGTCACTATGCCCAGCTAATTTTTGTATTTTTAGTAGAGACAGGTTTTCACCATGCCGGCCAGACTGGTCTCAAACTCCTGACCTTGTGATCCATTCGCCTGAGCTTCCCAAAATGCTAGGCATATAGGCATGAGCCACCGTACCTGGCCAATTATTTTATTTTAGAATTTATTTATTTATTTATTTTGAGACAGAGTCTCTCTCTCTCACCCAGGGTGGAGTGCTGTGGCACAATCTCGGCTCACTGCAACCTCCAAGGGATTCAAGGGATTCTCCCACCTTAGCCTCCTGAGTAGCTGGGACTATAGCCATGCACCACCATTCCCAGACGATTTTTGTATTTTTTGGTAGAGACAAGGTTTCGCCATGCCGGCCAGGCTAGTCTAGAACTCCTGATCTCAAGTGATCCGCCTGCCTCAGCCTCCCACAGTGCTGGAATTACAGGCGTGAGTCACCATGCACAGCCTAATTAATTTTTAGAAATGGGTCTCATTATGTTTCCCAGGCTGGAGTGCAGTGGCTATTTCACAGGCACAGTCATAGTGCTTTATAGCTTCCAATTCCTGGGCTCAGGTGATTCTCCTGCCTCAGCCTCCCAAGTAGCTGGGACTATAGGTGCATACCACTGCACCTGGATATTATTATTTTATTTCATTTATTTGTTTTAGAGACAGGATCTCACTATGCTGCCCAGGCTGGTCTTAAACTCCTGGCCTCAAGTGATAACTCCCATCTCAGCCTCCTGAGTTGTTGAGATTATAGGCATGCGCCACTGCTCCCAGCTTATAATAATAATAATAATAATAATTATTATTATTTTTGAGACGGAGTTTCACTCTTGTTACCCAGGCTGGAGTGCAATGGCGCGATCTCGGCTCACCGCAACCTCCGCCTCCTGGGTTCAGGCAATTCTCCTGCCTCAACCTCCTCAGTAGCTGGGATTACAGGCACGCACCACCACGCCCAGCTGATGTTTTTTTTGTATTTTTAGTAGAGACGGGGTTTCACCATGTTGACCAGGATGGTCTCCTTCTCCTGACCTCGTGATCCACCCGCCTCGGCCTCCCAAAGTGCTGGGATTACAGGCTTGAGCCACCGCGCCTGGCCACTCCCAGCGTATTATTATTTCAATATATTTTTTCGTGGAAAGATAGCATACCTAGAAAAAAGTACACACATCATGAGTCTTCAGTGAGTTATCACAAAACAACTACGTTGGTGTAACCTCTGTAGTTGTCACCCGGTAAAGAAATAGAACATTAGCAGCATTCTAGAAGCCCTCATTGTGGCCACGTGATGCCCCCTCCCAATTCCTACCACTTCCTTCCTCCCTCTGGCTTATCTCTGTATTGCCAGAGCCCAGCATAAAGCCCTGTCAAGAGGCCCAGTAAACATTTGTTAAACTAAACTGAACCTCTGTGAAAAGCACTTGTGATGTGACCTTGAGCTAGACACTTTGTGTTGGCCTTAATATACTCTTCTGCAAAACAGGGACAGCATTTCAGTGATTTCAATACCGCCCAACCCTAGTTGTACATCAGAGTCTTTGAAAAAAATGCTTGGGCACTACCCCGAAGCAATTGAATCTAAATCTCTGAAGGTGGGTCCTAGGCAATGGTATTTCACAAAAGCTTATTATTATTATTGACAGGGTCTCCCTCTGTTGCTCAGGCTAGATTGCTGTGGTGCGATCATAACTCACTATAGTCTCGAACTCCTGGGTTCAAATGATACTCCTGCGTCAGCCTCCCAAGTGGCTAGAACTACAGGTGCATGCCACCATGCCCAGCTAATTTTATCAGATGATGGTAGTTTTTTAAAAGCTTTCCAGTGATTCCATTGTATAGCCATGATCCCTTGAACCTCACCAATTTCAACCAACATCATAGGTTCAAATTTAAGTTCCACTACTTAAACCATGCCACTGTTGTGGGTTGAATTGGGTCCCGCAAAAGAAGTTGAAGTCCTAATGTCCAGTGCCTGTGAACATGGACTAATTAGGATGGAATCTTTGAAGATGATCAGGTTAAGATGAAGTCATTAGGTTGGATTCCTAATCCAATGACTGGTGTCCTTATAAAAAGGGGAAATCTGGCCAGGCATGGTGCCTCACCCCTGTAATCCCAGCACTTTGGGAGGTCAAGACAGGTGGATCACCTGAGGTCAGGAGTTCCAGACCAGCCTGACCAACATGGTGAAACCCCATCTCTATTAAAAGTCCCATCTCTATTAAAAAACCCCATCTCTACTATACAAGCTGGCGCTTGTAATCCCAGCTACTCGGGAGGCTGAGGAAGGAGAATTGCTTGAATCCAGGAGGCAGAGGTGGCAGTGAGCTGAGATCACACCACTACACTCCAGCCTGGAGAACAAGAGGGAGACTCTGTCTCACACACACAAAAAAAAACAACAAAAAAAAGTGGGGATGGGGAATCTGGACCCAGAGACGGAGACACAGAGAGAACTCCCTGGAATACCAGACATTCCCAGCAAACCACCGGAAGATAGGAGAACGACATGGGACAGATTCTCCCTCACAGCACTCAGCGGAAACCAACGCTGCCAGCACCTAGATCCGACCTCCAGCCTCCAGAACTGGGAGACAATCAACTCCTGTGGTTGCAGCCACCCAGTTAGTGGTACTTCGTTACAGCAGCCCTAGTAAACGACACAATTACTTACATAGTAGCCAGGGGACTCTCTTCACCTGTTTACCCGTCTGTAAAACTGAAATTGTAATAATGTGCCAGGATGCACATGGATATCTCAGTCATCATATCATCCCATTGACATAGGCAGTACTACTGTCTCCCTTAGCAGACGAGAAAGTTATGAAACAGAGAGGTTAAGTAACTTGCTCAAGGTCACACGGTAACTAAATACATAAACAATATATTCTTCACAGGATTATTGGAAAGCCTTTATGAGACTACAGATGTGGACGTGAAAGCGCTTTGTAAGTAGTTGGCATTTTACCTGCGTTAGTGAGGATCTCTGTTTTTTTTTGTTTTTTTTTTTTTGTCATCTCTGACTCTCCTTCCTCTTCCTACGCGATACTTCCTTCCCTCGGCGACAGGGGCCGCTGCGCTGCGCGGGCGCCGACAGTCTCTCTAGCCCGTCGCGCCGGCTGCTCACTGGTGGCTATAAGTGGCAGCGCCGGGCTCATCGAGGCTTCAGTCCACTGCTGCCGGGGCCGGGGCCCGGGTTAGTGCTGGAGCTGGACCAGGAGGAGCTGCAGCTGGGCCGGGGCGGAGCGCTCCCCCGCGCCGGGGCCGAAAGGAGGAGCGTGTTGCTGCTGGCCCACCGCGAGCCGCCCCCAGCCCGCGCCGAGGCGCCTTCCCGCCAGGCCGCCTGCCTCCGACCTTCCGCCTTTCTCCATTTCCCCGGAATCTCAGCCCGGTGCGCCTGGACCCCTGCCCTTCTCTGGGTGGACAAGCTCCCGGCCGCCTCCCGGTTTCACTCCTTTGCAGCCTGGGTTCCCAGCTCCCTCTCTCCTTTTCCTGGACTGGGTCTCACTCCCTTTGGTCCTCTTCCTTTAGCTCAGGCTCCCTACCGCTTCCCTCAGCCCAGAGTCCCAGCTGCTCAGTCACTTTCCTCAGCCAAAGGTCCCAGCCTCCCCTCTTCCTTTCCCTTGCACGGGTCCAGCCTGTCCTGCCCTTTCTTCTATTCCTGGGGCTCAGTTTCCCACATCCCTCCCCTCCTCCCAGGGCCGGAGTTCCAGAACTTTTGATCTCCTTCCGTGGTCTTTCCTGGGTCTTTGTCCCCTTTCCCCACTTTAGAGATCCAGATTGCAAACTCAGGCTCCCTCCACTCCCAGAAAATTCCTTCCACCGAAATGCCTCTCTAAAACATGAACTTTTCCTAGAGACTACGTTAGTTTGTCTTCCCACTTGCTGACCCTTTGCTACCTATGTGCCCGGTTTTACTCTCACTTCGCTAAGGTCGAGGCCGGCTCGGGGAGCACCACCATGCTTCTGCAGTCTGGCATCTGTGGCCTCTCTCCACCTCGGATCTTCCCTTCCTTGCTCGTGGTGGTCGCTTTGGTGGGGCTCCTACCTGTTCTCAGCAGCCATGGCCTCCAGCTCAGCCCAACTGCCAGCACCATTCGAAGTTCAGAGCCACCGCGGGAACGCTCGATTGGGGATGTCACCACCGCCCCACCGGAGGTCACCCCAGAGAGCCGCCCTGTTAATCATTCCGTCACTGATCATGGCATGAAGCCGCGAAAGGCCTTTCCAGTCCTGGGCATCGATTACACACACGTGCGCACCCCCTTCGAGATCTCCCTCTGGATCCTTCTGGCCTGCCTCATGAAGATAGGTAAGTCCTGTTCGCTCCGATGCTGCAGTCGTCTCCAGACTGGTGAGCTTGCCCCATCTCACACCATTTGGGGCTGTCCAGGAATAAGTATCTGAATTACCCCCATAAGGTAGGCCAGTCTCCATACTGCCATCTTGGTTCTTCTCAAGCTCCAGCTCTGTGGCCTCTGATCTGTGATCTGAGGCTCCCCAGATTGGAGTCAGCACTGTGCACGGAAGAGAGCAGGATTAGAGATGGGATGCCTCCGATCCTGGGTTCCTTCAGTAAGGCTTCCACGACTGGAAAGTCTCCTCTGGCTGGGCCAGACTCCCAGGGGAGCCAGGCACCCTGCTGTGTGTGAGCCAGAAAGGAGTGTCTTCTGGTGAGTGGCACATTCTGCTCTGTCAACAGCAACCAGTGCAATTTATGACAGACTTCACTGGAGTGTGTTCCAGGATGAGGTATATTTCTACTTGGCCTGCTTGAGGAGTTTGAGCATAGTGGAGACCTGGATGCAGGAAACTTACAAGTGTGGTGGAACACAGGGGATCCCCATATTCTCACCTTTCCTTCATCTCCAGAATGTTATCTGTCAGCTTTGCCTGCTCAGGCTGGTTAGGATCCCCTGAGTCAGTTTCCGGCCCAGGAATGCCATACTTTATACAATCTGTGGGACAATTTCTGAAGTCTGTTTTGGGAGTGGAGGGAGAGTAGAGGAGGTTGAGGCTTGGTCTGAGCCCAGCTCACCCCCAGGTTGCTGCCTGGCTGTGTTTCAGGGTGTTGTCTGGCCTGCTGCTCAATCAAGTAGGTGAGGTACAGGGGGAGCGCCTGTGGATGTTCAGGCCTGAAGAGACTTAGAAACCTTTTGGGGAGAATGAAACAGAAAAGTTATTCCCTCTCAGAGTGTTGGTCTCCCTGCTAGGCCTAAGTACCCTGTTATGCTGAGTGGGGGAGCTCACTGGAGCCTGCATAGCCCAAAAGTCCCTGGAAGTGGTGTCCAGGGGACTTTGAAGCCTGCCTGTGCATTTTCAGCTTGCCCCCAGCTGTCTGTGGAAGGTCCTGGGACTTGCTGTCCCCTTTGCCTGAGATTTAGGTTTGGAGATTTGGCAGGAAACCTTCCAGCTCTCCCAAGGACATGAAGAATTTGAGCAGTGCTGCCGGCCTGGTGTGAGCAGGCTCTGGGACATGCTGCGGGAGGGAAGCGGTGCCTCTGATTTGATAGATCCAGGAGCTGGGTTCCTGGTGCAGGGCTCTTGTGCTAAACTGGTCACAGTAGCAGAGCCTTACGTGGAACTAAGCCATCAGTACCTATACCCTGACGGCAGTTAGCTTCCTGGAGAAAAATCAAGGACTGGACAAGGGGAACCATGTGTACTGATTCCAACATAAATGCATGACCTTGAATAGCTGAGGCCTTTTTCTGCAGGTCCGCCTCACGTGTGAAATGGGTAAGACTCTCAATTTGACCATATCAATTAAGTTATGAAACATCATCTTATTTGCTGTAAGAAGCTTTAGTAACAGTGATGTCATTTGACTATGTGAGACCAGGAGGAAACCTCACAAGTGCTATCTATAAATTGCCTCCTGTCTCCAATCCCCTCACCTCCGCACCACACCTGGCATGATATTAGGGCATTCGGGGCTGGCAGGCACACTTCGAGTCTCCGTGCCTGCTGGTGGGACGACTGCGTGACCACAGAGACCCCACTCTAGGCAGTCAGAAGTTTGTCCCTACAGACCTGATATCTCTAGTGCTAATGAGGTCAGCTTGGCCTGGCCTGCTTTGTCACCACCCAAGTGCTGTGCCCAGGACCCTGGGCAGCTGGAGAGCAGAGATGGTGCCATGGCAACAGTATCAGTCTAGAAGTCGGGAAAACCTGGCTTCTCTTCCCACCTCCCTCTGTCCTTGGACCAGCCACGCCCCCCTACCCGTCGGTTGATCTTCGTGGTCCCTTCCAGGTATGATATTTCTGTCATTCCACTGACTCTGGGAACTCTGGCAAGTCATTCAGCCTTGGGCCTCAGTTTTCCCATCGTAAAATGATGAGGCTGGACTTGGTCTCCTTTCCAAAAGTCTGTTTCTGCCTCTGAAAACGGGAGCTCTGGCAGCTGGCCATGAGTGGAGAGAAAGGCAGCCAAAAGATCTGAAGAGTCCCTGTCCAGGCCACAAAAATGAAAGCCCATTTCCCCAGTTTCGCCTTTGCAGTGTAGAATTAAGCTACCACTCTGCCACTTAGCAGTTTCTCTGAGCCTCAGTTTCCTCATGTATAAAATGGGAACTATGCAGGGCGCAGTGGCTCACACCTGTAATCCCAGCACTTTGGGAGGCTGAGATGGGTTGATCGCTTGATGGGGTCAGGAGTTTGAGACCAGCCTGGCCAATATAGTGAAACCCCTTCTCTACTAAAAATGCAAAAAAATTAGCTGGGCGTGGTGGTGGACACCTGTAATCCTAGTTACTCGGGAGGCTGAGGCAGATGAATTGCTTGAATCTGGGAGACAGAGGTTGCAGTGAGCCAAGATTGCGCCATTGCACTCCAGCCTGGGCAACAAGAGGGAAAATCTGTCCCCCGCCCCCAAAAATCATAAAATAAAATGGGAGCTAATAGTATCCAGTTATAGTGCTATTAATGTGATGATTAAATAAATTAATGCATATACAATTGAGTTCATGGCCGGGCTCTGTGGCTCACGCCTGTAATCCCAGCACTTCGGGAGGCTGAGATGGGCGAGTCACCTGAGGTCTGGAGTTTGAGACCAGTGCGACCAACATGGAGAAACCCCATCTTTTAAAAAAAAAAAAAAAAAAAAAAGTTAAAAAAAAATTGAGTTTGTACATATAGGAAGTGTTCAATGAGTGGCAGCTGCCCCTGTTAATATTTTAACCACCTACAGCAAATGCATCCCTACCTCAGCCTCCTACAACCTTCCTCTGAGCTGAAGGATTACAACTCTCTTAAACCTAGGCTGCCACTGGGGTCCTTCCTTAAGGTTTCAGGGTTTCCGTGTGTCCTGTTCTGTTCACTTGAGCTGGTTGTGGTGAGAGGGAAGATGGCACCAGCTGCCCTGTGGGATAGTGGTGGGGGCTGAGGCCATGCTCCCTCTGCGCTTTCTGATACCCAAGAGCCTGGGAGCTTATTTTGGGGTCTTGCCTATTCTCTCAACACCCCAGCGTGGGTAGGAGTTATATTGGAGCCCTCATTCTGTCATCTATGGCAGCTGCTTCCCAAGCAGGTTACCCTCCTTTAAGAATAGAAAGTGCTTTGTTCAGTTCTCCTTCCTACCCTAACCATGGAGCAGAGTCTCAGGTAGACTCTTGCAGAGACTGGGGTGGGAGGAACAGGGTGGGAGCTGAAGTTCTAGAATAGTTGCTTCTGAGTTCTAGTCTACCTCTGACTCAAGGGGTGACATTAGGCAAGTCACCTTCCTTCTCTGGGCCTCTTTTCTCTCCCCAACAGTCAGAAATTCTTGCTTTTCCTTAATGGGGAGGGGCTGGTGGTACGAAGGGGATTTCGCCTATTGGGAAAACTATGGGGATTACTCAACCCTTAGGGGTTAGGTGCATTCCCCGCCCCACATTGTGCTTTGGACCTTACAGGAACTCTGCTTTGTTCTGAGTTCACCTGACTCCCACCTAGTACTTGTTCCAAGGGAGAGCCTCACTGTAACCCAGCTCACCACTGGCATCTCCTGCATTTGTTTACCCATATTCCTAACCCAGAATGCCTGGCAGAGGCCCAGGAGCCCATAAAGCAGGTATTCATCTTGTCTCCTGACCAGGGACACAAAAGCCTTCTTTTGTCCCTTTACATCTTAGAGCTTTTTTTGGTTTTGGTCTTTGCAAGGCTAATCCTGCCATCTCCTCTGTAGAACAAGTCTGTGAATGGGGAGATGGGGTCACTGCCCACTTCACATGCATGGATATCAGACCCAGCAACTGGTTTCCTGTAAGAATGACACTAGAAGGTGTCTCTCACTTCTCAAAAGAAGAGAAGAACAAATAGCTTAAAGGTCACCTTGAAATGTCTCAAGAAGCCCAGATGGGACTCTCTGAAAAGAAAGAGAAGACCTTTTTCTCTTTGGGAAAATAGCAGACTGACTGCAGAACAGTTGGAGGAGGTCAGATGGGGACTAGGAGGAAGGCTTCAGGTAGGACATGTGTCTCTAGGAGTGCCAAGCCACTTAGAGGGCTGAGTTGGTCAGACTGCCCAGACTTCATTCAGCTGAGCCCCCACGAAGCTTGCCTTTCCTCTCCTTCCCAGCCAGCCCCATGGCGTCCAGCCCTGGTATAAAGGAAAGACGTGGTCAGAAGCCCTGGCTTCTGCTCCTGACACTGCCTCTTGGTACCTGTGTGGCCATGAACCTTGAAGTTCATGCACCTCATTCTCTGAACCTGACTTACCTCATCCTTAGGACCAATGTAGAAGCTGAATGTGGGTGCCTGGTAGAGTGCCCAGCTCACTGTAGTAAGTTTCAGGGCCATGCAAACTCTTCTCCTTTTGGGTGGTCTTCCCAGCCCATAGCAGTCACTTTCTCTTTCTCCCCCAAACCCTTTTCCCTTATTGTTTATCCATGACATTGGCATTAGGACTTGCCTGCCTTGTGACATCTCCTGTGTTGAATGTGTGTGTGTGTATTTTAATAATAGTTGCCACTTGGTATCTACAGAGTAGTGTCAGGCACTTTATAAAAGCAACCTTTTTTAATCCCTACTCAAATCATATGAGATAAAAGCTGTCTCTGTTTGCAGATGAGGAAGTGGCTCAGAGAGGTTATCTTCAGTGGTGTTGAATTGCTATTTATTTTCTGTTCAAGTCTTGGCATAGCTTCTTAGAGGGGTACAGCTGCATCTCCTGCCTCTGGCATTCCCCACAGCAGATGCACACAGCTCTGCACTGAGAAGCACCCAGCTCACTGCACCTGCACTCAGGAATTGTAGGACTCCCACTAGGAGTTGGGCACATGTCATTAGTGGGAGCCCTGTCCCTGTCCTTGCCTAGAGAAAGCTGTAGGTGCTCTGTGTCTCGCTGTGCACCTATCCTTTGTTCCTGTGAGTCACCTTGCATGCACTGCAGGATTCAGGTAGGGCCTATCCCTTGTTCTCTGCTAGTGACCCTCCCTGCCATCTGTCTGTCAGTGCCCTTTCAGCCATCAGACCAGAGCTTGAGTCTTCCCTGCTTGGGCAGGGGAGTGCCAGGTAAAGGGTGGTTTCCTGAGCCGGGCGCGGTGGCTCAAGCCTGTAATCCCAGCACTTTGGGAGGCTGAGGCGGGTGGATCACGAGGTCAAGAGATCGAGACCATCCTGGTCAACATGGTGAAACCCCGTCTCTACTAAAAATACAAAAAATTAGCTGGGCATGGTGATGCGTGCCTGTAATCCCAGCTACTAAGGAGGCTGAGGCAGGAGAATTGCCTGAACCCAGGGGGCGGAGGTTGCGGTGAGCCGAGATCGCGCCATTGCACTCCAGCCTGGGTAACATG